GTGTGTGACCAATAGGAGTAGAGCTTACCGTGGTGTGTTACCAATAGGAGTAGAGCTTACCGTGGTGTGTGACCAATAGGAGTAGAGCTTACCGTGGTGTGTGACCAATAGGAGCAGAGCTTGCCGTGGTGTGTGACCAATAGGAGCAGAGCTTACTGTGGTGTGTGACCAATAGGAGTAGAGCTTACCGTGGTGTGTGACCAATAGGAGTAGAGCTTACCGTGGTGTGTTACCAATAGGAGTAGAGCTTACCGTGGTGTGTTACCAATAGGAGTAGAGCTTACCGTGGTGTGTGACCAATAGGAGCAGAGCTTACCGTAGTGTGTGACCAATAGGAGCAGAGCTTACCGTGGTGTGTGACCAATAGGAGTAGAGCTTACCGTGGTGTGTGACCAATAGGAGCAGAGCTTACCGTGGTGTGTGACCAATAGGAGCAGAGCTTACCGTGGTGTGTGACCAATAGGAGCAGAGCTTACCGTGGTGTGTGACCAATAGGAGCAGAGCTTACCGTGGTGTGTGACCAATAGGAGTAGAGCTTACTGTGGTGTGTGACCAATATGAGTAGCGCTCACTGTAGTGTGTGACCAATAGGAGCAGAGCTTACCGTGGTGTGTGACCAATAGGAGTAGAGCTTACTGTGGTGTGTGACCAATAGGAGTAGAGCTTACTGTGGTGTGTGACCAATAGGAGCAGAGCTTACCGTGGTGTGTGACCAATAGGAGCAGAGCTTACCGTGGTGTGTGACCAATAGGAGCAGAGCTTACCGTGGTGTGTGACCAATAGGAGCAGAGCTTACCGTGGTGTGTGACCAATAGGAGTAGTCGAAGGTGAAGTTTTTGGCTGAGTCTTTGGGCTGTTTAGGGTTGCTGATGCCTGTAAAACAGAACACAGACTTCAGTAACCTGGACTGAAGTTCATCAGCAGAGCTAAAACAGCAACAGCCGTATATCAGAACCCCCCTCTCTTCAGTTCTGAGTTCAGGTCTGATTCATAGTACAGAATCAAATCTGATCTTAATCCAGGAATTTTATCTGATCTTACAGCACCTTATCTCCAGTTAGGAGATCTTAACCTACTCGATCAAAGTCGACAATCAGCTGTCATGTCTGTCTCCTAGCAACCGACCATAAACACACAGCTGAAACATAAACACATCATCAGAATAACGTTAAAATGTGAGTTAAGCTGCTGTTACTGATGTAAAAAAGGTCAAACAGAGCTAAAGTGTGATAAACTGTAAGCAGTGAATGCTGTGAGAGCGCCCCCTGCTGTTTATCAGAGCGTCGCCGCTCCGCAGTTTCAGTCTCCATTTCCCAAACGCTTTAGCTGAGCGCGCTAACGTTACTCCTCCTAATAAACAGACACACGTTCAGCTCCGTCTCCTCATTATTCACCACCATCACTGTAATATTTCATCATCAACATTAACACACGAAGGTGATCAGAGGGGCGGTGGAGATCGAGTCTGCAGCGTCTGAGATCTTTAAAACGCAGAGTTAGAAAAGAAAATCATCTCACAGTGAAAGCAGCGTTTTACAGTAGAGATAAATGGAGCTCATTATGCTGGTAGTGAACTATGCTGCTGACTCAGCTGCCTAAAAACCATAGAAACGGACCTTAAACAGAAGTGAGGACCCTGTTGGGGTTCATCCTAAAGTTAGGACAGGATTTAGGAGGTTCAGTCTAGTTAGGATGTTTGTGTGATGCTGTTTTCTTATCTGGAGTTCATGATGAGATTATGAAGTTAGGAACTGATATTCTGGAATAGATACTGAACTAATTTCAGTCCGTGCTGACGTCGTCATGGAGACTAAACAGGTTTCAGAGTTAGGATGGTTCCGGTGTTCTAGATTCAGTGATGTCTGTATTTGAGGTCACTGCAGCTCTTAGACCTTCAGCACTGCGTTGGTCACATGACTGCAGGAGGGAACATCACATGATCCAGGATGATGGAGGAGGGCTGGAGGGTCATCACGCCAGAGGGTCGGGTGTGTGTGTGCAGGGTGATGCATTATGGGATGGTGACAGTGTGTGTTTCCTCCGCTGCCATGACAACGAAACAGCAGCCAGAACACACACAGATCTATTTATACTCCACATGCCAGAGTGTGTGTGTGTGTGTGCGTGTGTGTGTGTGTGTGTGTGTGTGTGTGTGTGTGTGTGAGTGTGTGTGTGTGTGTGTGAGTGTGTGTGTGAGTGTGAGTGTGTGTGAGTGTGTGTGTGTGTGTGTGTGTGTGTGAGTGTGTGTGAGTGTGTGTGTGTGTGTGTGAGTGTGTGTGAGTGTGTGTTCCACCCCCAGTTTAAACTCTCAGTGACCTGCTGTTAATCTCATACACTACTGTACTCACATTAACCACAGAAAGAAATAACACTGACAACAACGATACACATCTCACGAAATAACCCTAAACCTAAAAACATGTTCCTCGTTCTCCAATATCTTAAGTTTGTTCTTAAGTGTGTTCTTGAGAAAGGTTCTAAGAAAAAGCCTCTGTCAGATTCATGACGCGTTCTTAAAGCGCAGAGCTGTTTCACCTTTGTGCTCTTGAGTGCGTTTACTACTACCACTAATAATAAAGTTCACATTACAAGCCTCGTTGCTCAAGTCTGATTTTTTGCTCAAATCCGATCTCTCTGGCAGGATGGTTCACACTCGTTTAGGTAAGTGACTCAGATCTGTCATTAATGTGACGAACCGGCGTCCTGAAATGACCCTCATGAGCTCATCCTACTCAGTAACGTCACGTGAATGAATCACGTTCATCATCAGAACAAACTAACGAGCAGAACGAGCTTCGCTGAGAAGATAATTAACTCTGATCAGCTCTCAGCTTCATTATTAGAGCGAGACGAAGGAGAAAAAGGTGAGATGAGCTGCTTTTCCACCGTTTACAGGCTTTAACTTCTGTTCGGCGCTGCTGCCATGGTAACGCTGAATGATGGCGCAGTGGGAAAAAAGCACATGAATTCCGATCTGAGCGTCACATTAAGGTCACATGGCCACGAATCAGATACGTATCTGATCTAGGCCCACATATGAAAGTGACTCAGGTTGGATTTGAAAAGATCAGATTTGTGTCCACACAGCCCTGAAAACATCAGATCTGAGTCCCAGTAGGGCAGATAATCGGATTTGTGCCACTTCAGCCTGGAAATGTGAACGTAGCCTTATATAGCGCGTTTCTCAAACCCGAGGTCGCTTTACAGATACGGGCCCTAAAAAACATCAGTGAGGAGAAGAGAAAAGAGAGGTTTTAGGCTGAGCTTTGAAGGAGCAAAGTGAGGGTCAGTCACAGAGAGATTGGGGTAATCCACAGTTTGGGGGCCGTGACGCTGAAAGATCTGCCTCCGATCGTGGCCAGTCTAAATTTTGATACAGCCAGACGACCTGAGTCAGAGGACCTAAGTGTTCGGGCAGGGCAGTGAGGGTGCAGGAGCTCAGCTAAGTAAGCTGGTGCTGGATGTAGAGATGTGTAAGTTAACAGGAGGACTGTAAACTGGATACGAAGCGGGACGGGTAACCAGCGTAACTGATATAGAGAGCTGATTTCTCAGAGTGAGAGGATTCGAGCAGCAGAGTTTTGTAAATACTGAAGAGGGCGCAGAGTTTTGTGAGGAACACCACTGAGAAGGGAGCTGCAGTTGTCTAGGTGGGATGATATGAAAGCAAGGACCAGAGATTCAGTGTCTTCCATGGACAGCAGGGGGCGAAGACGAGACCAGAGCCCTGATATAAGGTTCAAATGAGGTTTACAGACTACGGTCTAACAATCACACCGTCCAAATGAAATGTGATGATTACATGTTAGCGTAGATTCTGTTCGTGCGTAAGAAGAAATTCCTTCGTAAGAACGGTTGGTGAATCAGGCCCAATATTTAATAACAGAACCATAATTTAACCCGATTTTGTGCATCACGCTGAGTGACGGGGAAGACGGAGACCACCCTGTATAATCTCCTGGACTCTTATGGAGATACGGTGAACCCCTGATGACCATCTTAAAAACATTTACTATAAAATCACAAAACACAGTTTTGCGACTCCAGAAAGGATCAAAGCAATCTAGATTAAACAAATGATGCCAAAAATAAGCCGAATCCTAAAACCCAACTGGGACATTAGCACACACACACTCCACTACACACACACACACACACACACACACACCAGTACACACACACACTACACACACACACACACACACACACACACTCCACTACACACACACACACACACACACACACACACCACACTCCACTACACACACACACACACACACACACACACTCCACTACACACACACACACACACACACACACACACACTCCACTACACACACACACACACACACACACACGTACACACACACCACACACACACACACACACACACACACCACACCACACCAGTACACACACTACACACACACACACACACACACACTCCACTACACACACACACACACACACACACGCACACACACACACACACACACCAGTACACACACACACACACACACACACACACTCCACTACACACACACACACACACACACCACACCACACACACCACTACACACACACACACACACACACCACACACACACCACACCACACACACACACACACACACACACACACCAGTACACACACACACACACACACACACTCCACTACACACACACACACACACACACACACCAGTACACACACACACACACACACACACACACTCCACTACACACACACACACACACACACACACACACACCAGTACACACACACACACACACACTCCACTACACACACACACACACACACACACACACATGCACACACACACACACACCAGTACACACACACACCAGTACACACACACACACACACACACCAGTACACGCACACACACACTCACACACACACACACACACACTCCACTACACACACACACACACACACACACCAGTACACACACACACACACCAGTACACACACACACA